CCCCCCCCCGCCCCCCCCCCCCCCCCCCCCCCCCGCCCTCCCCCCCCCCCCCCCCCCCCCCCCCCCCCGCCCCCCGCCCCCCCAGGTACCCTTTTATACCCCAATCATATGGGTTCGTGGGCTTTCTCAACAAACTATGCAAATGAGGATATTACTCGCTTGTCTCGCTTGCCTCGCTTGCCCAGTATAGAAGGAACGTTTCCTTCTCATCTGGGCAAGTACGATCACCGGTCCACCGTCCCTTCCTAGTTCGTCACCGTTGGGATTCTCGCCTGGCTTCTCTTTCTTTCCTTCTCTGTGTTTAGTCGAACAAGGTGCCTTCCTGGAATGGACACCTTCCCACTTTCCTGATCTGTGAGTCACTTGCACCTTCCATTGAAGTACAACAAAGCACATTGTTCTTTCCCAATTAAGTTATAGACACGGTCAACTTTGTATAGGGGACTCGTCTCGTACGAGAAGACACAACAAGCAAACCCCGGGTAAACACCGCAATGCTTCGGTCTTCCAAGTTCCAAGGTCAGCCTTGACTGTTGATATACTCCTGAACCATGACTACAACAGCACTCCGTAGTAGATCTAGGCCTCGGCATACGCCAAGACTCCACGAAACGGCTTAATAACACGCTAAATTAATGCCTTTAATTCCCCCCTGAAACACCGCCTCGTGCGGGACCCGCTGTAGGCTAGACTCAGGAGACTCGGAGCTATTATTTTCTCCCTTCTCAACTCCCCTGCTCTTCTTGTTGTTCTTGCTATTGTTGTTCTTTTTTTTTGGTTTATTCTCTTATGACTCTTTGAAATATCTTGATCTCTCCTACTGGCTGGCCCACAATGGAGAGCATTCCAGGAGCGGAGAGCCTCCTTGACGGTCCATTTCCGGATAACCAGAATTCAAATCCGCCACAACCGGACTCTGCTTCCGAGCAGTTCTCCCATTCCAGTCTCTCACGCTCATCGTCTGTCGCCCAGAAAAGAATATCATCACTACCTTGTGCCAAGACGGCCCGCCATGCCAAACGCCTCACCTTGAACTTCCCTATCAATCCGAACGAACCTGAGACATCCGATCTTATCAGCTCACCCGGCTCTATAACCCCAGTTACACAGTCTTCGACTCGTCCCTCCCCCGCTCAGCCCCCGGGAACTCCTATGGCATTTGAGGTCCCGGACGATGGCTATGACTTCCTGCGGGCCATCGCCTCGCAGGAACGGAAGGTCATGGAGCTCCGCGAGGAGCTCACTCGAGCCGAAGCAGACCTAGTGACAATTAAGAAGCAATGGGCAATGTCGGAAAAGTCTAGGAAGCGGGCCGAGATCAACCACGCGGAGCCACTCATGCCCCTGCGGGCGCCTGATTTCTCAACATCCGAGGCTTCAAGTTCACATGCCCGGCAACAGAGCATGAGCTCAGTTACAAGCTCCACGGTGTCACAGGAACGGATGAGCCGGGATCTAGATCGCCGATCTAGCGTGCGTGCTGCTGTCGCCGCCGCCCCAGGAACCAAGATTGGGAGTAATGGTCGGCGCGTGTTTCACGGCACACATACACGGACGTTGTCTCTTTTGTCGCCAGTCTCCGGTCCCAGCATGTCTTCCCGGGGAGAGCTAGGTCTCTCAGATGAACGCGTGGGCCGTACTCCGCGATCTGCAACTTTACCATCTGTCGAGCGCAACAATCCAGCTTTGATGAATGCACAACTAGACGAGAGCCAAGTACCGGAACATCTACTCGCACAGTGGCACAAGACCCTTCCTCCCCCTTCACGCGAGGCCTTGGTACGCACAGGCAAGCAAATGGCATCCGATCTCCGCGAGGGTCTGTGGACATTCTTGGAAGATATCCGACAAGCTACGGTGGGCGAAGAAGGAATCAGTGGCACGCAAACAAGAAGCTCACCATCCAGCTCACTGGCACCGCCACATGGTCGCAAGCGGGATTCGTTGGCATCACGGAGTAGAGAACGGTTGATGGCGGACGGCAAGCTATCACGATCATCATCGTCATCGTCTTCGCGGGGGAGGCCAGCGGCCGAGACAAAAACTGGTAAAGACACCAAGCCGGCGGAAATTTCCACATCTTTCTGGAATGAATTCGGCATTGATACACCCGCTCAGAAGTCTCCGAGCGCTACGCGCACCCCCTCCGACAACAAAGCCGCCAACCGAAACGAGGCGACCGACGAACAGCGCGATCACCGCTCGAGTAATTCGATTGACGCACAGGATGAAGATCTCGACAACTGGGAAAGCTGGGACACGCCCCTATCCGGGCAGAAGACGCACACGCCCTCATCGAGCCGATCCACAGTTGCATCCAAACACGACCAGTCACCTATTACACAGGGTAGCAGCCCTCGAACCAGCGCTAGGTACCGTTCGACCTTTTCTGATTTCATTTATGACAACCTCGTCATGCGCTGACACGTTCCTAGCTTTGGCGATTTGAACCCGACTTCTGCACTTAATCCTAGTGTCTCCGAAAGCATTCCCTGGCCTGCAATTACCAAGCTGGCTCCTTCCAAGCTTCAACGTACTGCATCCAACCTGATGGCAGAATGGGAGCGCTCGCTGTCGCCTTCTCCGGATCGAGCTTCTTCTTCTTCGCTCAGCCGTAAGGACAGCAAGAAGGACTAACAAAGTTCCTGCTTTCCTTTCATTGTATATACTTGCTACCTCTTCTTCGGCCCTATCTACGGAATCACGTAGGGCTACGACCTTCGAATTATACCATATGAGAGCGTTGCTTCTTCTGTTGTCGATATATTTCCTTTCCTTTGCTGCCTTTTTGAAGAACTCTACAGGCATCGACTGCTTTCAAGATTGTTGAAATACGTTGGTTTGATTACAAATGCCATTTTTGCTTCTCTAGCTTCACGAATACAACGAGTTTTTATATGTCTTCTTTTTGCGTCTTTCAACGTCAAATAATGTTTTCTGTTCCTCTATCTATACGTATGATGCGTACCGATAACGGCGAGATTTTGCGGGCCGGAACATCACGTGCCGAACTGCGCTTTAGACTTTTCTAGTTCCCCGTAAAATAAATTTGCGGTTCAGTTACTCGCCTCCGCAAGATCTCCGCGTTCTGTATATTACTTGCTCACGCGGTTTCTTCTCTCGCCGAAGTTCAGTGGATTGATCATTCAGGCCGGCTTGGATCCAATCTAACAAGTGCGATATTCAGTCCAAACCTACCCGCGTCAGCCTTCAATATGGCGTTTCCAGGCACCAAAGGCACGGCGATCCCGATGACCTCCCTGGGAGGTAACTCGGGCACCGAGGGAATGAATGATCAAGAACAGGCTATGATCAAGATGGTTCGTCCTCGATCCTGACCTGTATTCCGTCTAATTCTAACAAACTTCGGTATAGATGCAACGTGGTATGGAGTCCTGCCCGATCAAAACAGTCATCTCGGGTACCATGGGTTTCGGTCTTGGTGGTGCTTTCGGTCTCTTCATGGCCAGTGTAAGTTGGAAATTGAATATTCGAGCACTGTTTCATATCTAACATTTACCCGCGATAGATGTCCTACGACTCGACCTTCACACCCCAGGGCCGCGCTATCGCCGACCTCCCCTGGCGCGAACAAGTCCGCCGCGGTTTCAAGGACATGGGCGCCCGCTCCTGGTCCTCGGCTAAGAACTTCGGTATCGTCGGTGCGCTCTACTCCGGCACTGAGTGCTGCATCGAAGGCCTCCGCGCAAAGAACGATCTTACCAACAGTGTTGCCGCTGGTTGTGTCACCGGTGGTATTCTCGGCGCAAAGGCTGGTCCCCAGGCTGCGGCCTTCGGCTGCGCTGGCTTTGCGGCGTTCAGTGCGGCTATTGATGCCTACATGAGAATGCCCGGTGATGAGTAAACGCTCGATTCGGATCCGACACGAAAGCACGGCCTTGTTTCGTCGCTTGGCGCTTTTGTTGCCAGTCGGCTTTACCTGGTTGCGATTTTCCACCTGTACATTTTACAGCATCTGGCGTTCTGGAATAGAACGGAAGCATTGCGGGCGTTTTCGGTTGTTCTTGTCTATTTTGTTGGGAGGATGGTTCTCCGGCCTGTCTCCTTTGCGTTGCATGTCTTGTTTGAGCCTGCTTTGCATGGCCTTGGCATGGTGGTTCACTTATATTAGATCCTCGCGGGTCTGACTCTTTACTCTTTTGTACAATACTAAGCGTGGACATACATACACCACTGAATTTTTGAGACTCACCTCTCACAATTGATACCAAATTATTTATGCTCATATTATTCATTAATTATGAAGAGCCTCCATGAAATTCCTCGGCTTATTCAAATATCCGATTTGGGCCAAATCTACGCCGTCCCTTTCCTGGCAGACCGCATACTATGCCCGTGCCAAATGCAAAGCTAAGGAGATCCATTCAATCATTATACCACGTCCCAATTTACTACTTTAAAGTTACAAGACCTGACAAGAATACAGTTTCTTCAATTTATACACACTCCTAAGGCAACACAATATACTTCTCCAGGTGCTTAGGAATGGAACCACGCAGGTTCTTGCTCTCGAGCCAGGTGCTAGAAAACAAGCGATCCGCATACCGGTAAGCACCGTCACAGAGAATGGTCACAACGGTGTTACCCTTGCCCAACTTCTCCGCGATCTCCTTGGCGGCCACCACGTTCATCGCTGAACTGGCACCAAGGTACAGACCCTCCTCATCCAGACAGCGGTAAACCATCTCGATGGTCTTCTCGTCGCTGATGCTCACGGATCCATCCAGCAAGCCAATATCGGGCTGCAGGTTATCTGTTACACGGCCTTGACCGATACCCTCAGTGATACTGCTACCAGACCGGTCGATCAGGGTACCACCGCTTTGAATGTAGCTGTGGAGCACACTGCCCGGAGGATCGGCGAGGAAGCTCTTGACGCGTCCGTCACTGATGGTCTTCAAATAGCGCGTGGTACCAGCCAAGGTACCTCCGGTTCCAGTGGCACAGGTAAAGGCGTCGATCTTGCCCTCGGTCTGTGCCCAGATCTCGGGCCCGGTAGTGTCGATGTGTGCTTGGCGGTTGGCAATATTGTCGAACTGGTTGGTCCAGACTGCGTTGTCCAATGACTCGGCGTGCCGACGCGCCTGGTGGTTGTAGTTTTGGGGGTTGTCGAAGGCTACTGCGGGGACTGGGTATACCTCCGCTCCCAGCAGGCGGAGCAAGTCAATCTTGCCTTGCGACTGGGTGTTGGGCATGTAGATCACGAGCTTGTAGCCCTTGGACCGGCACACATGCGCCAGTCCAATGCCAGTATTTCCGGCCGTTCCCTCGACCACGGTGCCACCGGGTTGCAGAAGTCCCTTCTCCTCGGCATCTTTGACCACGAAAAGCGCTGCTCGGTCCTTCACGCTACCTCCGGGGTTTTGGAATTCGGCCTTTCCAAGAACATTGCAGCCGGTCTGCTCGGAAAGCTTCTTCAATCGGATAAGCGGGGTGTTTCCAATCGCTGTAGTATAAGTCAGCTAAAAGTATATGCAAGTGTGCGCTCGGAGCTAGACATACCCTCGGTCAATCCATTGACAACGCCCTGGGCGGTTGATACGCGGGTGCAGTAGGCAGTGGATCCCTCACCAGCAGCACGAGCCGCCGTGGTGGCAAACCGCCGGACACTTTGACGAAACATCCTGAATTAATGCAATGCAGGAATAAATGGTCCCATCGACCCTCGGGGAATGACGAGCTCCCGCACCTCCGATGGTCGGCATTAGTCAGCTCACGTGCGTCTGCTACCCTTATCGGGCTATCGGCCTCCCGTTTTGGGCTGTTTGTTTACCGCCAAGGCCTCCACTCCTTTGATCGGTCCCGCAGTGCGGTGCTTTTCGCTTTCGAATAATCAACGTCAACAACAACACCATAATGCCTGGCAGAGTCGCCGCCCGTTCGACATCTGCGACAACACGCAGATCGTCAGCACAGCCCTCTGCGTCTGGGCGTGCTGGCTCCGTTACACCATCGTTTGCGATCCCCGAAGAACCAACAGAGCCAACATCATCCCCCACTTTGCGTCGCGATGTGTGCTTGATATTTGCGGATGCTCAGCGCTCAACTACTGGACATCGAAAGCTTGTTGTGCGCCTGCGCAAGCTTCAGGAGTTTTGCTGTGGTATCTCACAAAAGAAAAATAAAGGAAAGGACGAAGAGCCCGAGGAGGCATTGATTGCTGGTGAGGAAACGGAGGCTGAGAAAGAATTCAATGTGGAAGTTGGCCGCTGTATGCTTCGGATTCTCGCGATTAAGAAAAGTGAGCCTGTTGGAGACCGAATTGTACGCTTTTTGGGTACTTTCCTCGGCCATGCCGCGGAGAAAGATAATGAGATCTTCGCTGCGGGTGAAGACGAGGAGCACAATCCCGACACACCGACTTCCCGCCTCACATCTAGTCTTATTGCGCTGATGAAACCTGTCATGGGCGCCAAGGATAAGATGGTGCGCTTCCGCGCAACCCAGATTACCGCCCACATTGTGAACTCTCTAGAATCGATCGACGACGAGCTATACCATGCTATAAGACAGGGCCTTCTGAGACGCCTCCGTGATAAAGAGGCCTCTGTCAGGGTACAGGCGGTCCTAGGCTTAGGACGTTTAGCGGGTGATGATGGAGAGGGCGACGACGACAACTCTGCTCTGCTTGAAAAGCTGATCGAAATTATGCAAAATGATACAAGCGCCGACGTTCGCAAAACCCTCCTCACAAATCTCCCTCTCGCTCCAGTGACGCTTCCTTATCTTCTTGAGCGCGCCCGTGATCTGGATGCCCCTACCAGACGCGCGTTGTACTCACGTCTTCTGCCTACCTTGGGTGACTTCCGCCATTTGTCCCTCTCAATGAGAGAAAAGCTCCTCCGGTGGGGTCTACGTGATCGTGATGAAAGTGTGCGCAAGGCTACGGCCAAATTGTTTTACGACAGATGGGTCGAGGATTGCGCTGGTACGAACAATGACCCGAATCAGGGACCGACTGGCCAGCGCTCTGCACCCGATATCAACGCGCTTCTTGAACTTTTGGAGAGAATTGACGTTGTTAACTCTGGAATGGAAAGCGGCATTGCACATGAGGCAATGCGCGGGTTCTGGGAGGGCCGTGCGGACTATCGCGAAGCTGTTATCTTTGACGAGCCTTTCTGGGAGAATCTAACCGGTGAATCTGCCTTCTTGCTCCGGTCCTTCAATGACTTCTGTCGCGTGGAGAACGAAGGCAAGTACGAGAGCCTAGCAGAAGACAAGATGCCAGAGGTCACCGCGATGGCCTATTTCCTAGGCAAATACATCACTAATCTCTTGGAGCGGAAGAAGATCTCCAAAGAGTCTGGTGAAGCAAACGATGATGACGCAGTCGAGCACGAATTTGTTGTGGAACAATTGCTTCATATCGCCATCACTCTAGATTACAGCGACGAGGTCGGTCGACGAAAGATGTTTTCGCTCCTGCGAGAAACTTTGGCCGTGCCAGAACTTCCGGAAGAGAGCACGAAACTTGTCGTTGAAACACTTCGCTGTGTCTGCGGACCTGATGCTGCGGCTGAGGCCGAATTTTGCAGTGTTGTTTTGGAAGCTATTGCTGAAGTTCACGACACCATCACCACTGAAGATAGCTTTGTTTCTGCTAGGTCTGAAATCAGTGATGACGCTAGCAGACGATCCGAAACTCCGGGGGTTGAAGAGATTGCTCCTTTTAATAAGGAAGAAGCCAAGGCCAAGATCGTCCGCGAGATTGTTGTTAATATGAAGTGTCTATATATTGCCCAGTGCATGTTGCAGAATGTCCAAGGCCACCTGCAGCAGAACATGAACCTGGTTACTATGCTCAATAACCTTGTGGTGCCCGCTGTCCGCAGCCACGAAGCCCCAATCAGAGAGCGTGGTCTCTTGTGTTTGGGCCTTTGTTGTCTGCTTGACAAGGTTGGTAACTTCCCTTTTGATGGAAGGCGAAATTCGCTAATATTGACTTCCACAGAATTTGGCCGAAGAAAACATGACCCTCTTCATTCACTGCTATAGCAAGGGTCATGAGGCATTGCAGGTCACGGCTTTACAAATCCTCTGTGATATGATCACGACTCACCCATCTCTCCTCGCTCCCGTTACACAGGCTGACGGCGAGACCGTCACGCCGCCCCCCATGCAGAAGCCTTTGCTCAAGGTTTTCGCCCGAGCTCTGCGTGCCAACTCTCCCAGCAGCGTTCAGTCTGGAGCAGCCGCCGCTCTCTGCAAACTGCTACTGACCAACACTTTCACTCCCTCTGGACCGAATATCCCACCCGCAATCCAGGAACACAATCAGAATGCTGTTGAATCCCTTTTGCTATCCCTCGTGGTCTCATTCTACCACCCACGCACTCGTGAAAACCCAGCTCTAAGACAGTCATTGGCTTATTTCTTCCCTGTATACTGCCATTCTCGTGTGGAAAACACGCAACACATGCGCCGGGTGGCCGTACCAGTGATTCGTGCCGTGATGAATGCCGCGGAGGAGCACTACTCACTTGAGGCCGAGGAAGACAGTGATGGGGAAATCGATCCGAGCGTCGGGGAGCGTGAGGTCAAGGCTCTCATGGCTGGTGTCGTTGGTATGCTTTCCGAGTGGACTGACGAGCGCCGGGTCGTTGGCCTTGGCGGTGAACGAGTTCTGGCTGGCGGTGCTGCAAGCTCCAGTGTTTGTGGATGGGTTCACCTTGCCCTAGTTAAGGAGATTCTTGAGCGTGTTCTCGGTGTGAGCGCTGCCGCGAATCGCTGCTCACGTGAGGAACGGAAGCTCCTATTCTCCCTCCTCAGCAAGCTTTACTTTGCCGCTCCAACGGTGCCCGCACGAGCTAGCTCTCGCGTTCCCGAGGGCGATGATCAATT